TATTTATAATTTTAATTTTATATTTTATATTCATAGTTATACTGTTGTATTTATAATTTATATTTGTTTATGTCGATATTTATATTTGTATTCGTGCTTAAATTCAAATTTAGCATTGGGGCCGCGCTGGCCCCTGCCCGCTCAGCTCCGTGCCGGTGAAAATTCCCACCGAGACCGAGCTCCGTGCTGTGACTTTGGGGTTTGTGCTTACCGCACATGCTTCCATTCACAGGTGTATCTGTATTTATTTCTATTTTTTATATTCCTAGATATACTTACCGTTATATTTACATTCATATTTGCATTTTGTGTTTGTATTTTGAATTTTTAATGTTTATCTGATATTTATAATTTTAATTTTATATTTTATATTCATAGTTATACTGTTGTATTTATAATTTATATTTGTTTATGTCGATATTTATATTTGTATTCGTGCTTAAATTCAAATTTAGCATTGTATTTTGATTTTTATATTTACATTCACATGTATAGGTTTATATTGATGTTTATATTTATGTTTTGTATTTTATATTCCTATTTATACTTACGGTTGTATTTACATTTGTACTTGTATTTGTGTTTATATTCAAATTCATCTTTGTAGCTTGATTTTTATGTTATACTTACATATATAAGATTATATTTATCATTTATATTTATCCTATCTACATTTACTTTTATGTTTACATTCATATTTGTATTTGTGCTTATATTCAAATTTATCTTTGTATTTTTATTTTTAATTTAAACTTATATTCATATCCACATTCATATTTCTACTCATTTTAAAATTTATATTTGCAACTTTGCATTTACCTTAAAGATTATACTTGTTGTTTGTGTTCATGTCTACATTTGTATTTCTATATTTTTGTTATATTTCTGGTTTATATTTCTATTTATGCTTTCCTATTTATATTCACACTTGTACTTTGTTTATATTTATGTTTACCTTTGTATTTATATTCCTGTTTAAATTTAAATTCATATTCACATTTCTATTTTTATTTCTTTTAAAATTTATGTTTATAGCTTTACATTTTTTAAAAAAAATTTCTATTTCTGCATTTCTACATATTTCAATATTCAAATTTCCTCATTTTAATACATATTTTAATCAATCCTTCCAATCCATCCAGAACTTTCCATTGCCCATTTATTAACGCTAATCATGACCATTAATTACCCGTGCTAATGAGGCACGGACTGGTCTCCATTCCCAGAAATACCGGGATTTTCCCGGATTCCCGGCACGGAGGCTGCCCCCTGCTGGATCCCTTTCCCAGGAATATCCCAGTTTTTCCAGGGGTTTGGAATTATTCTCGAGTTGAACACCAGGATTTGGACAGAAATCCATGGAATTGTGGGGTTTTAACAGCATCATTCCCACCCTTCCCAGGAATATCCCGGTTTTTTTCAGAGCGTTTGGGATTATTCTTCAGTTAAACACCGTGATTTTCACAGAAATCCATGGAATTCTGGCATCATTCCCACTTTTCCCAGGAATATCCCAACTTTTCCAGGGGTTTTGGGATTATTCTCTAATTAAACACTGGGATTTGGACAGAAATCAATGGAATTGTGGGGCTTTGACAGCATCATTCCCACCTTTCCCAAGGCACATCCCAACTTTTCCAGAGGGTTTTGGAAATGTTTTTTAAATTAACACTGGGATTTGGACAGAAATCCATGGAATTATGGCATCATTCCCACCTTTCCCACAGAATATCCCAATTTTTCCAGCAGGTTTGGGATTATTCTCTAGTTAAACACCGGGATTTGGACAGAAATCCATGGAATTGTGGGGTGGTAAATCCATGTAATTCTGGCATCATTCCCACCCTTCCCAAGGAATATCCCAACTTTTCCTGAGGGTTTTGGGAGTGTTTATTAACTAAACACTGGAATTTGGGCTGAAATCCATGTAATTCTGGGGTTTTAACAGCATCATTCCCACCTTTCCCAGGGAACATCCCAACTTTTCCAGAGGAAAAGGGACATTGAACACCTGGAATTTGGCCCTGGAGCCTCCCTTTCCTCCATCATTCCCTGGAAATCCCCGGAGCCCCTTTCCCAAGGGGTTTTGGTTTTTTTTGGAATGGCTCCCATGGAACATCCCAACTTTTCCAGAGGAAAAGGGACATTGAACACCTGGAATTTGGCCCTGGAGCCTCCCTTTCCTCCATCATTCCCTGGAAATTCCTGGAGCCTCTTTCCCAAGGGGTTTTGGGTTTTTTTGGGTTTTTTTTGGAATGGCTCCCATGGAGTGCCCAGGATCTGCTCCCCAAGAATTTCCAGCCTGGAGGGAATCTGGGATGGATCCCTGGGATCCGTGGGAGGCAGAAGAGGGGCAGGGCTGGGCCTGATCCCTGATCCCACTTTTCTGGCACCAAATCCCCCAAATCCCTCGGCACAGCTCTGAAGTTGAGTGGATCCGGAATTCCAGCTCAGCCCTTGCTCCTTCCAAAGAAATTCCCAGCAAATTCCCAACCAATTCCCAGCAAAACCCTGCAAACTCCTGGCCAATTCCCAACCAATTCCCAGGCAATTCCTGGCCAGGCCTTGGATCTGCCCCATCCCAAACTAAATCCCCGGAAAATCCCATTTGTGTCACCCGGAGCCTCCGCAGTTCCTGGAAAACCTCTGGAGCTGTGGCCTGGCTGGGAAGGGCCTGGCGTGGATGCCATCCCTGAATCCCACAGATCCCACAGATCCCATCCCTGGGAAGGGTTTCCAGGGTTATGCCAGATGAGACCGTACAAAACCCCCTTTCCCAGAGATCCCAATCCCCATGGATATCCCAAATCCCTGAATCCCAGAGATCCCAATCCCCATGGATATCCCATTCAGGGATACAAATCCCCTTTCCCAGAGATCCCAATCCCCATGGATCTCCTGCTATCCCACCCCAGGAAGCTGCAGGGTTTTCCCAGGTGAGACCATACAAATTCCCTTTCCCAGAGATCCCAATGCCATGGATATCCCAAATCCCCTTTCCCAGAGATTCCAATGCCATGGATATCCCAAATCCCCTTTCCCAGAGATCCCAATCCCATGGATATCACAAATCCCCTTTCCCAGAGATCCCAATCCCATGGATGGCCCAAATCCCATTTCCCAGAGATCCCAATGCCATGGATGTCCCAGATCCCACCCCAGGAAGCTCCGGGGTTATCCCGGGTCAGCCATTCCCGTTCCCTCGGAACTGCAGCAATTCCAGTTTTTCCGTGTCCCGGTAAAACCGGTTCCAGCCGGCCTGTCCCGGCCTGCCCCGGCATTCCCGGCTCCCTATAAATCCCAGCCGGGCCTTTTGGGGGAAAATCCCCTTTTTAGGGATCCCGTTCCCATGGAAAGGCTGGAAAATCCCTGAACCAGCCCCGCTTCCCTCGGAGCGCTCCCGGGATAATTCCGTGAGTAAGGAATTCACCTGGGGGGGTTGAACCCTTTTCCCTTCCTTCCAAGGCTTTTTGGGGGATTTTGGGGCTTTTCCATCAGAATTCCACAGGCTCGGGGCCCATCCCAAAATTGCAATAAATTCAGGAATGTCCCAAATTTATCCCAGTGAAATATCCCAAATTTTCCACATTTAATTCCATTTATCCCAAATTTATTCCAGCAAAATATTCTAAATTTATCCCAAATATCCCCAATTTATCCTAGAGAAATATCTATCCCAAATGTATCCCAATTATCCCAAATTTAATCCAAATTATCCCAAATTTAATCTCAAATTTATCCCAGTGAAATATCCCAAATATCTCAAATTTATCCCAGCAAAATATTCCAAATTTATCCCAGTGAAATATCTCAAATTTATTCCAAATATTCCAAATTTATCCCAAATTCCCAAGGCACCACAAATTCCTGTCCTTGCTATCAAGGAAATTTTCTCCTGGTTATAAAAAAACCCTGGAATAAGGGGAGGGAGCAAAAAAAAAAAAACCCACCTGGAATAAAGAGAATATTTATATTTATTTCCTGGGAAAATCCACTTTTTAACGTGTACATTTCTTTTTGGAGAGGGAAAAACCTTTGGAATAAAGGCAATAAATTGATTTCTTGGGGATATTTGCAAGATGTGCTTTTGTTTTGGGGGGAAATATCCTTGGTTAGATGTGATTTATTTTTTGGGAATAAAAATCCTTGTAATAAGTTAATTTAATTTTGGGGGGGAAATCCATTGGAATAAGTGAGTTTAACTTTTTTTGAGGGGGTAATCCATTGGAATAAGTGGATTTAATTCTGGGAAGGAAAAAAACCCTTGGCTAAATACGCATTTATTTTTTGGTAGGAAACCCTACAGATTCTGTGCATTTATGATTTTTTGGGAACAAGCCCTATGGAATCCATGCATTTATTATTTTTGGGGGGAACAAACCCCATGGAATCCCTGCATATATGATTTTTTTGGGGGAACAAACCCCACGGAATCCTTGCATTTATTATTTATGATTTTTTGGGGAACAAACCCTTTGGAATCTGTACATTTATTATTTTTTGGGAACAAACTCCACGGAATCCGTGCATTTATTTTTCTGGGGGAACAAACCCTTTGGAATCTGTGCATTTATTATTTTGGGGGAACAAACCCTTTGGAATCCGTGCGTTTATTATTTTTTTTGGGAACAAACCCCACGGAATCTGTACCTTTTTTTTTTTTTTTTTTTTCCCCACGGAATACTTACATTTATTATTTTTTTGTGAACAAACCCCACACATTCTGTGCATTTATGATTTTTTGGGAACGCACCCCATGGAATCCGAGCATTAACCCCCTACCACCAACACCCTACACCCACTTTTCCTAGGAAAAAAAAAATCAAATAAAATCCCATTTCCCCCCTCCCCAAGCGTTTCCCTCCCCTAAACCCCCAAATCCATGGATTCCCCTTCCCAAAAAAGCCAGGGGGATGCGGAGGGCGGGAAGGATCCCGGGCTGTGGGGCTGGCCCGGAGTCTTCCAGCCCTAAAGATGGAGCTGCTCGGCTCGGGGCCGCTCCCTCGCGGCCGCCCGGGATCCGGGCTCTTCTCCCTTTCCCCCTTTTCCTGCCCATCCATGTGGTTCTGTTTTGTATTGTCCCGCTCGCCCGCACTCCGGCTTCGAGGGGATTCGGTGGGTGGGATTTGAGGAGGAAAAAGAGAAAAGAGAAAAAGGGGGAGAGGGGGGGGGGAAAAAAAAATCAACCACGCGAGGAGGAGGGGAAAAAAAGCGAGAGAAAAAAATCCCCCAAAATTACCTTCTTTTTTTTTTTTTTCTTTTTTTTTTTTTCTTTTCCTGCAACAGGAACCGCCACCAAAAATAGTGCAAAGGCCCCGCGCCGCCGCTTTCTTTATGCTGCACCTCTCGTCCTAAAATCAGGTTTGGAATTGGGGGCTCAAAAAGTGGGATTTGGGGGGAGGGGGAGAGGGATTTGGGGAGGGACGGGGGGGCGGAAAAATGGTTTAAAAAAAAAAAAAGGCAAAAAAAAAAAAAGGCGGATCCACGTGGTGCGAGGGGGGCAGACAGAGATCCCATTGTTCCAGGGAAATCTGGGAATGGGAACGCGGGGGGGCGGAGGGATGGACACGGGGGAGACCCCCGGGGGGGCCCTGCTCCCTCCCCAGTCCACAAAATCGCCCCCAACCCAAAATCCAGCGGCAGCGCCCCGAGAGAGCCTGGGCTTTGGGGTTTTGGGGGTTCCGGGCTGTTTGAGGTGGGGATAAAGGAGGGGGGACCCCAAATTCCCCCCGGTGCTCCCCTTGCTCTGCGATCCCCTTTGTCTCCGGGCCCTCTTCCTGCCCTGGATCCCCTTTGGGAAACCCCCCGGCACCCCGAAAGCCCCGGGACCCTCCTGTGTACCCCCAAATCTCCCCGCGACCCCCCGTGTGCCCCCCTTTGAACCCCCCTTTTCCCCCACGTCCCCCAAACCCCCCCGTTTTCCCTTTCCCGTGTCCCCAAATCCTATTTGTCCCATCCCATGTCTCCCAGATCCCCTCCTTTTCCCCATCCAGTGGCCCCCAAATCTCCTGGCTGGGGGTCACCCGTGTCCCCATGTCCCCTCACTGGAGGTCACCCTTGTCCCCGTGTCCCCCCAAACCCCTCATATCCCCTCACTCGGGGTCATCCATGTCTCCCACATCCCCCCAGTTTCCCCACATTGGGGGTCTCCCCATGTGCTCCTCTCTGTCCCCATCCAGGGTCCCCCATATCGCCCCCACAGGAGGTCCCCCATTTCTCTCCCGTGTCCCTGCTCTGTCCCCCTCACCGGGGGTCCTACCTCTTATCCCCCCATGGCCACCACTGTGGGTCGCCCTTTTCCCCTCATCCTGTATCCCCCCTTTTCCCCTCCAGTTGGGGGTAACACACACCGTGTCCCCCTGTCCCCCATCACCCCTTGTCCCCCTGCATCCCCTCCATGTCCCGCTCACGGGGTTCTCCCCTTTCTGCCCCCGTCCCATCTCTCCTCATATCCCGCCCATCTCCCCTCATCCCCTGACCCTGTGTCCCCCATCTTCCCTCACCCCCTGTTCCCCCATGTCCCCTCACCCCATGTCCCCGCTCATCCCCCTCCATGCTTCCCCCACAGCGGCTCCTTCTCTGTCCCCATTTCCCCTCACTCTGTCCCCTTGTCCCCCGCATCCCCCATTTCCTTCTCTGTCCCCATCTGCCCTGAGTGTCCCCCCTCACTCCACATCCCCCATTTCCCACTCTGTCCCCATTTCCCCTCACTGTGTCCCCTCACCCCATTTCCCCTCTCTGTCCCCATCTCCCCTCACTGTGTCCCCTCACCCCATTTCCCCTCTCTGTCCCCATTTCCCCTCACTGTGTCTCCCGTCACGCCGTGTCCCCATCTCCCCTCACCGCGTGTCCCGGTGTGTGTCTGTGTCTGTCTGCGGGTGTCTGTCTGTCTGTGTGTCGGTGTCTGTCGGTGCGGCGGCTGACGCGGCCCCGCAGCCATGCCCCGCAGGAAGGCGGCGGGGCCGCCCTGGGACGCTGCGGGCCCGGGCCCTCAGGGCGGCGGGCGGCGGCGGC